CCTACTGGGTGTGGGGCTGGGAGGATTCTGTCTGTCCACGCATCGTCTGTCCCTTCTGTTCTCCTTTGCCTGTTCCCTTAACCCACCCTTCTCTCCCCCTCTTCCCACTAACGGGTCAGGAGACCAAGGAGATCAGCTGGGAGCAGGTAGGGTGCAGGATGGGCTGCCCGCATGACAGGTTGTGCACGTTGCATGGTCTTTCTCTGTCCCTGTGCCCCACCCTTTGCCAGAACATTCTAAGTCCCTGCCCAGGAGGGGAAGGAGCTCAGTTGTGGACTAGTTCATAGTGGCTTGGTGGGGGACAAAATGGAAGCCCTCTGTCCACCTCCAGCCTAGAGCACAGGCCTTTCCATGGTTGTGGATTGCTCGGGAACTGCTGGGCTATGGGATTGCTGGAGCCGGAGGGAGCTGCGGTGTGGTCTAGGGTTTGCGGTAGGGTTGGGAAGAGGGCTGACTGCGCCGTTCAGTGGCGTGAGTGTTAGCTATGCTATTATGGTGGCCGTGAGGTGGACGAGGCAAGTGAGAGGTAGGGAGGACACTGTGGCCTGGAGAAGAGAGAGGCCAGATGCCCGACTTGAGCCCGACTTGGGGGGTGTAGGTTCCAGGTTGGGCTGTGGTCTGTTTCCAGGCCCTGAAGCTGCAGACTTGGGGTTTATCTGAGCCTTGCCCTAAACTGGACTGTTTGATTAGTATTTTCTGGGTGTCACAGGAGTGATAGTCTCTGGGTGGCAGGGAAGCCACATCAGAGTCCTGGTTCAGGTTTGGGCTGAGTGGGTGCAGACCGGCAGAGCTTGGGGTCAGTGGGTGGGGCCCTGGCCTGTAACACAGAATTCTAGCTTCTAGCACCAACCTGGAGTGGGAGTGCGCACCTGTCACTCAAGAGGGTGGAGGCAGGAGGATCTAAAGTTCAAGACCGTCCTCAAACCTCACTGTGAATTTGAGGCTAGCCAGGGCTACACGAGACCCTGAGCTGGTCCAGGGGCCCCAGGGGAGGTCAGATGGCTTTGTGCTGGGTAGAGAACCAGCTTGGGGGGAGGACACTGAATGTTGTCCTTTCCCTATACATATGGGAAGGGACAAGAGGGCCTGACCCCCCCCTCACCTGCCCACGGCCCCAGATCCTGGCATATGGCGACATGAACCACGAGTGGGTGGGGAACGACTGGCTGCCCAGCCTTGGGTTGCCCCAGTACCGAAGCTACTTCATGGAGTCGCTAGTCGATGCTCGGATGTTGGACCACCTGAACAAGAAGGAACTTCGAGGTCAACTCAAGATGGTGGACAGCTTCCACAGGTGGGGTTGCCTGGCCAATGGGAACGGCCAAAGGGGAAGAAGTCACACTCCTAGAGAGGCTTTAGCCAATGGGAAATTCTATGAAATTCTGGCTTGGTGCTCCTTGAACCAAGAAGGTGATCCATAGGAAAACCGAGATCTCTCGTGGTCCTGGTGACCTGCTACTGGGGAGGCCAAAACAGGAGGATGACAAGTTAGCATGGACTATAGAGTGAGTTCAAGGCCTGCTCAGGGAGCTAGTGATACCCTGTCTCAAGATTAAAAATTGAAAATAGAGAGATCCTAAAGAGAGAGAGGGAGAGAGTCAGATAAGAGCAACGAACAATGACAGTGGCCATGGGAAGGCTCCTGAGTGACTCAGTTTCCCCCTCTGCTCAGGGTTAGTCTGCATTATGGTATCATGTGCCTGAAACGGCTCAACTATGACCGGAAGGACCTGGAGCGGAGGAGGGAAGAGAGCCAGACCCAGATCAGAGGTGAGGTCTCGTGGGGGCCAGGCGGAGAGGCCGCCCAGAGGGAGGGAAGCCAGATTCCAAGAGCTACTGAGAACATGGTAGAGTGAGCGTGGGGGCATGGCCAGAGAATAAGTATAGCGTTATATGCCAGCCTGGCTGGTCCTGGCCACTGGGGTGCGCTGTCACACAGGGGGTAGAGCCAGCATAAGTGTTTGGTTAAGAGGGAATTAGAACTGCTCACTAGGACGTGTTGTTCCCACAAATAGTGAGTAAAACCAATGTGGGGGCGTGGCTAGGGAGGGAAGTGAGAATTGCAGGACTAACTGGCCATTTCCAATGACAAGGGGAGGGGTCATCGTGAAGGCAAGTCTGGTAAGGGAAATGAGGATGGAATTAGGCTAATTTGACAGGACTAGCCTTTGGGAGGTGCACGGTTAAGCGTCCCTTTTAACCGGGTGGTAGTGGTGCACGCCTTTAATCCCAGCACTCAGGAGGCAGAGGCAGGTGATCCCTGTGAGTTTGAGGCCAGCCTGGTCTACACAGCGAGTTCCAGGACAGGCTCCAAAGTTACAGAAAAACCCTGTCTCCTTTTCATCCCCAGACGTGATGGTGTGGTCCAACGAGAGGGTCATGGGTTGGGTGTCTGGGCTCGGCCTGAAGGAATTCGCCACGAATCTCACCGAGAGTGGGGTGCACGGGGCACTGCTGGCTCTGGATGAAACCTTCGACTATTCCGACCTGGCCTTGCTTTTACAGATACCTACACAGAATGCACAGGTGAGCCATGGTGCTCAGGGAACGTGCTGGGCGCTCCCACCTGCATGCCCCAACCTAGGCCCACTAACCTCCCTCCCTCCTCCTTCTCCAGGCCCGGCAATTGCTGGAGAAAGAATTTAGCAACCTCATCTCCCTAGGCACAGACAGACGGCTGGATGAGGTAGGCGTGGCAACAGCGCTGAGGCTCCCAGTCACACTTACGTCAGGGATGAAGGGGTGGGGCTTGGTGTTGCCAACCAATTGTGGTTGGAGGTTGAGCTAGATGAGGGGTACGGCTAAGGAGGGGAGTAGAATGGGAACTTAGGCCTCCCTCCTTCGCCTTGGGTTCCCGTCCTACCACTAGGACAGTGCCAAGTCCTTCAGCCGCTCCCCATCCTGGAGGAAGATGTTCCGAGAGAAGGACCTCCGAGGGGTAACCCCCGACTCGGCCGAGATGTTACCCCCCAACTTTCGCTCAGCTGCAGCAGGAGCTCTAGGCTCCCCAGGGCTCCCACTACGCAAACTGCAGCCTGAAGGTAAGGGATTCTCCAATGTGACAGTCCGAACCCTATTCACAGCTTGGGACAACTTTCCAACTGGTCTACCCTACCAGCTTCCTGGGACCCAGCTCCAGCCACCCAGGCACTCCTGGCAATGGGTTATTCTCATGTCTCCTTCCCAGGAGGGGAAATGATCTTGCTTCAGGCCACCTGGATTCTCTCTTTGGGCCTCAGGCTCCCATGGTGGAGCAGGCACATGCTGTGATGTTTGAAGGGGAAGCATATGTCTATTGGAGGGTACCAGGGCTTGAAGCCAGAACTCATAGCAACCCTGGGGAATCTGCGCTGGCCTCTTACCCAGTCACTCAGCGTTAGACAGATAATTGCAAGATCAATACCTGCCTGGGCCACAGAAGAGTGAGTTCAGGACAGCCAGGCCTGCTTAGTGAGACTCTGCTTCCAAAAGTAAAAGGAGCTGAAGATGCAGCTTGCTGGTGGAGGGCAGCTTGCTGGTGGAGGGCTGCCTACAGTTCCCCGGTGAGAGCTGGCCTTGTGGCTCAATGGTAGAGTCCAAGCCTAGAATACCACAGTGAAGGGCTCAGGTGTGGCTCAGTGGTACGGTTTTTGACTAACAATCAAGAGGCTCCTACCTTCAACCTCCACTACGAAGAAGTGGGGAATTCTCTGGGGAAAACAGGGGGCTTCCAGGCTGAATGGCTGCTCTCTCTCTAGGCCAGACTACTGGGAGTTCACGAGCAGATGGTGTTTCTGTCCGGACTTACTCCTGCTAGTGGGCACCTCCAGGTGAGGACTTTGCCAGGTGATTCTTAGGATTCGGGGTGGTACAATGGGAACAAAGGATGGCGGACCAGATGGGTCCCACCTACTCCGTGAACTGTTTTGGTCTCAATGCAAGTGACCTCACTCTCACTCAGATGAAGACACTCCCGAAGGCTGGGCCGTTTTCCCTCCTTTGCAGAGTAATGTCTAGCCGGAGACCACCGTGAGGGGAGCTCTCACTGCGGACTGCACCATCTATACACACCAGTCCAGTGTGCGCGTTCCCGCCTCCCAGATGGACTGGGCCTGGACTAAACCACAGGAAATGGACTAAGAGGGGGGGCATCGGAAGAAGAGGACAGGAAGAAATCCCTCCGCCTCCCTTTTCTCTACTTTGTAATTTATTGATCCGTTTCGGACGGGAGCCAGGCACCCTGCACCTGCGGGAAGGGGGCGGGCTTCGCTCTCGGGCCGCATGCGGGGAGAGGCCGCCCCTCCCCCCTTCTCTTGCCCAGTCGCGGGGCCCAAGTCTTCCTTCTTCGTCCCCTAGGAGGGGAGGGGAGACTCGCTGCTACAAGCCTCGCCCCCGACTCCCGTGCCACTCAGCCCTGCCCCCGCTGCGTCTGGTCGCCAGTCCTCGGGGGTCATCTGTGAGCGGAGTTCCTGTCCCTCCTCCCGTGTCTCGTGTCCCCCGGGGCCTCCCTGCCCCCCGTGCTATGGCGGTGTCTGTGCCCAAGGGTCAGGGACGCAGCACTGCGTTCCCAGTTCCCCTCGGGCTCCGGGGTTTGCATGGGAAAATCCCTCTGTCAACTATGTCGCTGGGTGATGTGGCTTGGGGAGGGGATGGACAACGAGGAGTCCCCCACCCCGACTCTCAGTTGGCCTCCTAGCCCCAGGCGTTACTCAGTGATCACGGGTAAAGACCTACTGTTTCAAAAGTTCTGGTGTTGACCAGCCTTTTTTTGAGACAGGGTCTCACTTTGTAGTCCTGGCTGGCCTGGAACTCACTATGTAGACTAGGCTAGCCTCGAACTCACAGAGATCCGCTTGCCTCTGCCTCTGCACTGAGATTAAAGGTGTGTGACACCTCTCCCAGCTTTTGTTCTCAAGATGTTAAGAATGCAAACCAACCACCTGCAGAATCAAGGAGTCAGGCCCTCTAGGAGAGGCTGTGGTCTCCCTCCGCCAGGACACACCCCACACCGGACACTGCTGTTTCCAGGAGCACATTTATTCAGAGCTCCTGTCAGGTGGGCCGGCCAGGGGAGGTACATCTGCTGCAGCAGTGGCCAGGTCAGGGCTCTGGAGTCTCCAGCATGTCAGCCAGTGCTCTGGACAGGAGGACACGAAGGTTAGCCAGCGCCCAGAGGTCCTTCAGCCATCATGACCCTGACCGTTTCATATCCATGGTCCCAGGATAGCTCTTTAGCTCAAGGTGGGCCAGCCTTTCTCTAAACAAGTTCCTTGGACTGCACCATCCCCCCAGCCAGCCCCACACTCACCGATACAGGGAGGAGGAGAAGTAGTCGATGTAGCTTCCTATGAGGGAGCAGAGAGAAGAGGTTTCAGGGCCTCTAGGAGGGGCATGATGGGGGAAGACTCAGGGCAAGCACAGACATATGATGTTTGGCGCCTTTCTAGTGTAATTTCTGCTTGCTCTTCAGCTGTCCCAGCCCATGATTTTTGTTTACTTTGGTCCGACCCACTGGCTTCTAGGAGTACCCTCAACACTAGCTCAATCTTAGCTGCAGGCCAGATTCTGCCCGAGGACCTTTGCCATGGTCACACCCCCACCCCACCCTACCATTCAGCCACAGCCAGCAGCTCTCCTGGTTCAGAGCTCAGGTTGGCTCCAACCCCACTTTGCAAGACTTTGCCCCTCCATAGGTGCCTGCTTTGCTTCTCACCTGGAGTGCAGAGGGTTTCACAGACCAGCGGGCAGAGGTAGCAGAACTGGCAGTGCTGAGGATAGGGAGAGAGCCTGGTCAGGGAACTGTCACGACCACCCAGCCGAGGTTGGGTGGAGGGTCAGTGTGGGTGCTCTAGTGGGACCAGCCATCTGGTGCCTGAGCTGAGTCCCTGGGAAGGTCTCACCTGACACTGGTCACAGTGTTCCCCCATGTTCTCCTCATCACAGTGACAGCGTTCACATTCAGTACATCTCTGGGGACAGGAAGAGCCTGGTTAGAGGAGTCCCCCGCCCAGACCCCTTCTTTCCTCACACCACCCTCCCAGGTTTCCTACCTAAAGATAGTCCAAATGTCCCCCTCCCCCCGGCGGGGCGGGCCGGGGGGGGGGGCCAGGCCCTGGGGGGGGACCCGTAACGTGTCCCCCCCCAGCTTCAGGTCCCCAGAATTTATTTTGCTGCCCCCCCCCCCCAGTGTCAGGTTCAGAAGCCTCCCACGGCACCCCGGGGCATGCCAGGCAGATCTGGACTAGGGACCTACATTGCAGAAAGAACAGTAGCCACACAGGGACCCTGGCTGGTAGTTCTCGTACTCTTGGGCATCGTGCTGACCTGTGGGGACAGGAGGGCCACAGTGATTCCAGTTGACCAACTCTGCCTTCCCCACCCCCACAGAGCCAGGCCACTTACCTGTGACCTCACGGCTCTCCTCCTCGCTGGAACCTTCTGTGTCCACCTCCCTCCCAGCCAGGGGGTTTGGGATGATGGTGAAGGGTAGCAGGTTTTCTTCCAGAATCTCCTCCTCCTCCTCCTCCTCCTCCTCCTCCTGCTTTTGGTCTCGGCTCACTGGAGTCTTAACCTCAGTCCTGTCTTCCCTGCTCTCTTCCTCATCTATTTCTTCCTTTTCCTCATCTTCCTGGCTCTTGGGGAGGCCGTGACCCTCCTCCTCCTCTTCACTGTGGAATCCTTTGCTCTGCTTTGAGTCTTTGTCTCCCTCTTGAGAGCTGTGGTCATCTTCCTTCCTTGATTCTTCGGAACCAGCCCCTGTGGGCTGCAGAGGCTGATGATCAATGTCACCTTGGACAAACTCTCTGTGACCCTGGCTGATCTGTTCATCTTGATCTTGTGGCCTGTGACTGGGGACCTCGTGGCCAAACTCAGCAGAAATGTCCCCATCTCCCTCCCTGGAGACTCTGTGGTGATGATGGCCAGGAACTTCTGTCATATACTCTTCTGGGAAGTCCTCCTCCTTGTCAGACTTGTGGCCTTGGGGTTGGTGGCTTGCAATATGGTGGCTGAACTTGACTGTTACCTCCTCTTCTTGATTCTCACTTCCAAAACTGTGGTGAGTATGTCTAGGAGATGGGTGCCAGTGTTCAGTGGATACAGCCTCATCTTCCTCTTCCTCATCTTGGTGGCTTTGGTGGCCATGGCTGGGGACATGATAGTAGCCTTCATCTGAGTCATCCTCATCACCTTCCTTCTCATCGCCTTGGTGTCTGTGGACCTGGTGCCCATGTTCAGGGGAACCATCATCATCATCATCATCGTCATCTTCATCTTCATGGCCTCGGTGTCTGTGGGCCTGGTGTCCATGCTCAGGGGAGCCATCATCATCATCATCATCATCATCACCGTCATCTTCATGGCCTCGGTGTCTGTGGGCCTGGTGCCCATGCTCAGGGGAGCCATCATCATCATCATCATCATCATCATCATCATCGTCATCTTCATGGCCTTGGTGTCTATGGGCCTGGTGCCCATGCTCTATGGAGCCATCCTCCTCCTCCTCCTCATCTTCATGGCCTCGGTGTCTGTGAGCCTGGTACCCATACTCAGTGGAATCATCATCTTCATCATCATCATAATCTTCGTCTTTGTGGCCTTCATCTCTATGGCTGTGGGCATGATGGTGTTCATCTGAACCCTCTTCATCTCCGTCCTCTGAGTGGCTCTGGTGGCTCTGGTGACTATGGGCCTTGTGCTTACCATCAGAGTTCTCCACTTCCTCCCCATCATCTTCCCCTCCGTGGCCATGGTGACCATGCCTGGGGACAAGATGGTGATCCTCACTGGAGACAATGCTATCCTCATCTTCATCTTCATGGTTGTGACTCCTCTGGCTGGGGAAGTGGTCCTCAGGCTCTGCCGAGTTCCCCAAGTCTTCATGATCTCTGGGCCCTCTGTGCCCATGGGCCTGTCTGACATGCCCTCTGAAGACCTCTTCAGAGACATTATCCTCCCCAGCCTCGTGGCCGGGGTACCTGTGGTCTTGGAGCCGGTGGCCGTATTCCCTGGAGAAATCATCACCCTCTTCCCTGTCGTCTCTGTCCTGCTCACCCCGATGGCCCCCATGGCTGTGGATGTGGTGGCCAAACTCAACCGACATGTCCTCTGAAGACCCAGGGATGCCGGCATTGTTGTTCCAGTTGCCAAGGCCCAGCCCAGCCCCTCTCAGCTCCTGGGTCACCACTGGGGGGAACAGCAGGCTGGCTACTGTGGCCCAAAAGAGACAAGTATGCAACCAAGGCCCCTGGAAGCCCATGGGGACGTTTAGCAGTTGAACTTCTTCCAAGCCTGACTTCAGCCGGCTTTGCTGGGTTCTTGTGCCTTGTTTTGTTCTGACTTTCAGGCTGTCTGTCTTGGGTGGTGGTGTCTCCCCCACTCTTTACTTGTCTATCTTCCTCAGGTCTTGGATGCCTCTCTGAGGATGTCCCCTTTGGAGCTGTGACCCTGGTTCCAGGACCTCCCTTCCTACTGCTGGGCCAATGGGGTCTGTCCCCTCCCCTCCTAGTGGCTAAATTTATCCTTAGCCTAAGTTATTCTGGTCTGCCCCTGCCTGCCCCTCCCCTCCTGTTCCACTGGCTCAGGACTAGGTGGTGGAGGGGTCTTCATGGCCAGGAGGGGGCAGGGACTTGTCTTTGTTCTGTCCAAAGCTCAAGCTTGGTAACTTGGAGGCAAAGGCTAGACTATGTCTGGAGTGCGGAAGAGCCCGGGGCACCGGGAGACAGCTGCACGGTTAGGAGCCCAAGGTCCCCTGCAGTGCAAGAATTGGGGAGTACGGTTGTGAAGAATTTGCAGCCAGGATGGGACATTTGGTGTGAAAGTGGGTGACATGCAGAGGCTGTGGAAGAGTCCCCAACACCACATGACCTCCTGTCCCTGGAACTCAGATCTGGGGGCAGGGGACCAGGCCAGAGCTATAAATACAGCAGGGGGAGGGTGCTGGGGGCTCAGGTTACTAGGTCCCAGCTGTCCCCACTAGAGGGACTTGGCGAGAGACCAGTGTCACCCTTCCCTGAGCACCACCCCACCTTGTCAACATACTTTTGGGGTTTTGCCCTTCATGAATCAACCCCCCCCCCC